CGCGAGTACCCGCCTCCGCCTCATTACTTCGCAGACCACTTTTGAACCAGCCCGCTTTTGCGAGACCCAGAGTATGTTGTCGCGTGGAGGATGGAGTCTTGGTGGGGAGGACATGCTGACATCTGGCGCGTGTAGATTGTCGCAATGGCTCCAGCACGGAAACAGTCGAGTTTGCCAGCGGGTAAGTGGATGCGCTGCTTTCACATGCTTGGGATAGTTCAAAGCTAACCACGAGGTCTGCGCAGGCTACAAGGAGGATCACAGCAAAGGTGCCATGCTGCGCTTTGAAGACTCCCTTCCGCGACTCCCCGTCCCCACTCTAGAGGAGACCGCCAAGCGATACCTCAAGTCCGTTCACCCGCTCCTCTCCCAAAACGAGTTCGATGCGACTACAAAGGCTGTCAATGAGTTTGTGGCGCCTGGAGGGCCTGGAGAGAAGCTCCAAAAACGCTTGGTAGAGCGGAGAGAGGACCCCAAGCACAGGAACTGGATCTACGAGTGGTGGAACGATGCTGCGTACATGGCCTACCGCGACCCCGTCGTGCCATACGTCAGCTACTTCTACTCGCACCGCGATGACAGGAAGAGGCGAAACCCAGCAAAGCGCGCTGCAGCTCTCTCAACAGCTGTGCTCGAGTTCAAGAAGATGGTCGATGACTGCAGCCTGGAGCCTGAGTACATGAAGAAGCTCCCAATGGCCATGAGCTCCTACGAGCATATGTTCAACTGCTGCCGTGTACCCAAGAAGCCATCCGACTCCAGCACAAAGTACCCCTACAAGGAGAACCCGCACATCATCGCGATAAGGAAGAACCAGTTCTGGAAGATACCCCACGAGATCAACGGAAAGCAGCTCAACACCAGCGAGCTCGAGCTCCAGTTCCAGCGCGTATACGAAAAGGCTGAGAAGGCGCCCGCAGTCGGTATTCTCACATCCCAGAACCGTGATGTCTGGTCAGACGTCTACCCCAAGCTCAAGGCTGCCTCTGCCAACAACGCCGCATCCCTTCAAGACATTGAAGCCGCCTCCTTTGTCGTTTGCCTCGACGACGCATCTCCCGTCACTCTCGAAGAGCGCGCACACCAGTACTGGCACGGCGATGGCGCGAACCGCTGGTTCGACAAGCCCCTCCAGTTCATCGTCAACGAGAACGGCACATCTGGCTTCATGGGCGAGCACTCGATGATGGACGGCACACCCACCCACCGCCTCAACGACTACGCGAACCAGCAAATCTTCACCAACGCCCTCCCCTTCGACGACCCCAACGTCCGCTCCGACCTGCCCAACCCGAAACCCCTCCGCTTCGAGATCAACGCGGAGCTCCAGCAAGACATCGCCGACGCCCAATCCCACTTCTCCCGCCAGATCGGCGCGCACGAGCTCAGAGTGCAAGCCTACCAAGGCTACGGCAAAGGCCTAATCAAGAAGTTCAAGTGCAGCCCCGACGCCTACGTCCAAATGATCATTCAGCTCGCCTACCACAAGTTCTACGGCAAGAACCGTCCCACCTACGAGTCCGCCGCGACCCGCCGCTTCCAACAAGGCCGAACAGAAACCTGCAGAACCGTCTCAGACGAATCCGTCGCCTTCTGCAACGCCATGGCCGACGCCGATGCTACACCCGAGGAGTGCGCGAAGAAGTTGCGAGCCGCACTCGACGCACACGTCAAGTACATCTCCGACGCCAGCGACGGCCGCGGTGTAGACCGCCATCTCTTCGGCCTGAAGAAGTGTCTCAAGGAGGGCGAGGAGGTGCCTGCTCTGTACCAGGACCCAGCCTACACCTACAGCTCCACATGGTTCATTTCGAGTTCTCAGCTGTCGAGCGAGTACTTCAATGGCTATGGGTGGAGCCAGGTTATCGATGATGGATGGGGTATTGCGTATATGATTAACGAGAACAGCATTCAGTTTAATGTTTGCTCCAAGGGGCTTGGTTCGGTAAGTTATAATGTTGAGATGAACTATGGGGGGATGATGGCTAACAATGAACAGGAGAAGATGAGCTTTTACCTCAATGAGGCGGCGGGTGATATGAGGGATATTATGCTGCCTACTCTTGATGCGGCGAAGGCGAAGTTGTAGATTGGGGTTGGAGATGGGGGTTCTTAGAGGGTTGATATAGATCTCTTGATATACCAATCAATATTACATCTTCTTCACGAATTGTCTTTCCTTAGCGTGAGGTGTCAATGACCAAAACGACATGTCGTGTCGATCCTCGAGCGTGGGATATGCACGAATGACATCAGCCTCACACCGCTAGCTCGGATCCCGCACGCCCAGGTGAGCTTGGTGAAGCTTCCCCCACAACTCAATTGCTCCCGCTGCAATGGAATATTGCGCATCCGAGCCTACTTCAGACGGCAGCCGCATTCCATAATGCCGAACCGATTTTAGCCTTCGTACCTTCCCACTAGGAATGTCTATGACTCTATTCAATTAGCAGTCACACATTCAGCTCTTCACACGATCGAGGAGTCATTTCAGCACCAGCCGGCGCGGACCCTGTAGCAGAGTGATACAGCACCATGGCGCAAGTTCAGCGGCCGCTCATCATACAGTCGCAAATGATACGACTATGCTGCCCGCGCACGACCAGAAGAACAAGCAGCGCGCTGTTCGCAAGAGGAAGCTACTACCGAAAGCTGCACACCAAGACGGTTACCGACAACGACATTTCGCATTTGGCGAGCTTACCGTTACACCCGTTGACACTGGCCGATCTCGTCAAGTGAGTGTTGTCAAACCCGTCTTTCCCAATGCATCTGCCGAGGACCCTGGCTAACGCTGTCGCGTGCGCAACAGACACGGAAGACCACCGCTCACAACCCAACAACTCCTCACATCCGCAAACTTTACCCTCTCCATCCTCCCCGCCCGCCTCGCGCACCGCATACAATCGCTCCGCAACCTCCCGTTCATCGTCGTTTCCAATCCTCATGTCTCGAAGATCCACTCGAACTACATGCACAGCCTGTCGACGCTGCTACCATGGGCTGAGCAGGAGATAAAGACGCTGGAGGAGGAAGTCAAGTTCACAGAGGTCATGGCGGACTTGGTACAGACACATGCCAATACGATTAGCATACTGGCGAGAGGCTTTCTGGAGGCGAGGAAATATATCAGTCCAAAGGATGTTACGCGGTTCCTGGACGAGCATCTGCGCGCGCGGATAGGCACAAGATTGATTGCGGAGCAGCATCTGTCGCTGCACTTCTCCAGTCAGCCGCATTGCGAGATGATGCATGAAGTGGACGAGAGCCCAGGATATATCGGCGTCATCGACACGAGACTCAGGCCGGCGAGGATAGTAGACCACTGCGCGAATGTTGTGGGCGAGATCTGCGAGCTGAAGTATGGCGTCCGGCCGACCATCGTCATTAACGGCGAACCCGATTACGAATTCGCGCATATACCCGTTCATCTCGAATACATTATTACTGAGTTGCTTAAGAACGCGTTCCGCGCAACGGTGGAAAGTGGCATGGAACGCGAACCCATCGAAGTCACCATCGCCCCGCTTCCAGAACTCCTACCTGAAGACGCAAGCAGCGAGAACTCAGAAGACATCCGCAACAAGAAGGTTGACAATGAGGATCAGGGCAACGTAGATCAGGTCTCACAGCGCTTCACAGGCAACAGCTCGCCTACATCTCCGCCGTCCGACTCGAACATCCTCCCGCTCAAGCACAGCACGCCCGGCGTAACGATACGAATTCGTGACCGCGGCGGCGGCATTTCCCCCGATAACCTCTCACACATCTGGGACTACAGCTTTACAACCTTCAACGACGCGCAGGCGACTACCACCCTCTCCGGTGGTAGCAACTCAGCCACCGGCATGGATGCGCTGAACGCCTTCTCAGGGGCAGGAGGGGATGGAGTGAACAGCCTAGCGGGACTGGGATATGGACTGCCGTTAGGAAGAGCCTACGCAGAATACTTCGGTGGAGGCATTGCGGTACAGAGTCTCTGGGGGTGGGGTACCGACGTGTACCTCAGCTTGAGAGGAGTGGGCAGAGTAGACACCGTACAGGAGGCTAGGGAAGACGCGAGGAGGCAGAGATGAAGGAATCACAGAGAGACGACATCATGTTGTCGGTAAAGCCGTTGATTATCGTTATATACCCATGAAATCATATGCTCATGCATCATGTCCTTATGCCTCCGCTCATGTCATCACATCTTGATCTTTGTGCACCCATCAGCGGCAGTCGTGTAGTGGCTCTATTGTGTCTTCACCTCTCCGTCCGCCTCGACGTTGACGTGCTCGTTGGACGAGAGGGTGGTGACCACGTCGTCGGGGATCTCGGCGCTGTGATTTGTCAGTATGACTGCGGGGAGGATTGGGTGTTCAGACGCGTACCTGAAGCCCTTGATCAGAGTGAACTCGTTGGTGATCTTGCCGCCCTGGTCGGTGACGTGCTGCTTTGCCTTGTCGAGCTCCTCCTTGGGAGCGGAGTCCTTGAGGGTGACCTTGGATTCGTTAGCATAGTACAGACTACAGTGTGTTTGGGAAGACTCACCATGAAGGCAGGCATGTTGAGAGTTGGTAGTGAGGTTTGCTGGTTTAGGTTGAGGGGTAGTTTAGTGAGGTTTGGAAGTTGCAGTGTTGTGGTGTTGATGCAGCAAGGTCAAAGCGTGTCCGTGGCTTATATACCTCAGCTATCTCTCCGTCGGACCCTGTCAACAAGCAGTCTAGAGCCTTGGATAGGCTTGGTCTGACGATGACGTGCGCTGTCCAGACTATGCCCACCCTCAGCGCCATGTGAGACAGCCTGCCCCACCACCCGTACGTGGGAGGCGCGCGGTCTTATCGATAAGCCCATCCCTGCAGCTGCGGCCTTAGCGGCTGGACTAGCGCCGAAAAAGTTGGGATCGCGAAGTTGCTTGCCGCTTGATCTTTGACTTTGCGCGCGACGAGTCGAGACCCAACACGCCACTCTGACGACTTCCACTGGGGTCTGAGAGTGAGATACGAATACCAGCAGATATGGCGGACGCACAGAGTAACAGGCCGCATCGGCCGAAGAAGGAGAAGAAACCGCATACGGGCGACAAGAACCCCAAGGCTTTCGCATTCTCAGCGCCGGGCAAATTGAAGCGGAATGCTGCGCGCTCTACCGAAGTGTGTAAGAGTCGAAGCTGTGCGCCACTCTAGCTAACACTCCCAGGTCAAAGAAAAGCGCCTCCACGTCCCGCTCGTCGACCGTCTTCCCGAAGAAGCACCTCCCATCATCGTCGGCGTCGTCGGCCCTCCCGGTGTCGGCAAAACCACTCTCATCAAGAGCTTAATCAGACGATACACCAAGCAGACCCTCTCCACGCCCACGGGACCCCTCACAGTCGTCACCTCGAAGCGCCGCCGCCTCACGTTCCTAGAATGTCCCGCCGACTCGCTCGCCAGCATGATCGACATCGCAAAGGTGGTGGACATAGTGCTGCTGATGATTGACGGCAACTACGGCTTCGAGATGGAGACCATGGAGTTCCTGAACGTCCTGAGCGCAAGCGGTATGCCCGGAAACGTCTTTGGTATCCTCACACATTTGGACCTCTTCCGGAAACAGGAAACGCTCAAGCTGCAGAAGAAGAGGCTCAAGCACAGGTTCTGGAGCGAATTATACCAGGGCGCCAAACTCTTCTATCTCAGTGGTGTGGTCAATGGGCGGTACCCAGATAGGGAGATTATGAACCTCTCGAGGTTTCTGAGCGTCATGAAGAATCCCAGACCGTTGGTGTGGAGGAATTCTCATCCGTACTGCTTGGCGGATAGGTTCCTGGATATTACGCCTCCGACCGATATCGAGCAGAACCCCAAATGCGATCGCACGATAGCGCTATACGGATATCTGCGCGGCACCAACTTCCCCGCTGGGTCGTCGAGAGTACATATACCGGGTGTTGGAGATCTTACAGTCACTGCGACGGAAGCGCTACCCGACCCATGTCCGACACCGTTTGCGGAGAAGGCAGTGGAGAAGGCTTCGGGAAAGAAGAAGCGGACGAGATTGGGCGAGAAGCAGAAGATTCTGTACGCGCCAATGTCGGATGTTGGTGGTGTGCTCGTCGACAAGGACGCTGTTTACATCGACGTCAAGACTGCCACATTTGATCCCGAGGCGGATTACACTGAGAAGGGTCTGGGCGAGCAGATGATGATTGGACTGCAGGGTGGACGGAAGCTGCTTGGTGAAGACGACGGCAACTTCAGGTTGTTCAAGGACGGCGACGTCGTTGACAACAAGACCCTCGAGGACGACATTGCGGATACGGGTCGACGGTCTCAGCGCACGGCTAGGGCAGCAGACGCTGAAGAGGTCGACGATGAGGATCTCGATGGCATCGACAGCGACGACGAGGAACTGCAGCAGGACCACAGCGATGCCGACGACGACGAAGACGATACCGGATTCCTGGACACCAACGGCCCACCGAACGGCAAGCTCAAGGTCTCGCGCAAAGAGAAGGAGGCGGACACTGCCGAGGACGTAGCGTTCGCAGACAGTGACTCCGATCTGGGCTCAATATCTGGCGATGAACATGATCTGGAGGATCTCGAAGAGGGCGATCTTGATTCTCAAGACTCAGACTCTGATGAAGCTGAGGATGGCGCACGGTGGAAGGCAAATCTCCGAGAGAATGCTGCGAAACTACACGGACGGAAACGACCGTACCGCGTCACGGACCTGGCGAAGATGATGTACAATATGGATCTAGCGCCGGGAGAGGTCCTCAAGAAGTGGAGATGCGATGATGAGGAGGAAGATATTGAGGAAGAGGGTGACGAGGATGATGGCTTCTTCAACAAGAGAACAGCCGACGATGCTGCTAACGCTGAAGACCGTTACATTCCTAAATTCAACTACGAAGAACTGGCTGAGAAGTGGGAAGACGAGGATAACGTCGAGGCTCTCATGGGCCGCTTTGCTACTGGTCATATGAACGGCAAAGGCGGGGATGATGATGAAGATAACGATGACTTTGAAGGCTTCGATGAAGACGACGAGGGTGACGGCGAGTTTGAGGATCTGGAAACTGGCGAGAAGCACGGTGGTGAAACTGAGAACACTGGGGCTGAAGCTGAAACAAACGACATCGAAGCAGAGCGCGAAAAGAACGCTCGGCGAAAGGAGGAATTGAAGCTTCGGTTCGAGGAGGAAGATCGCGAAGGCTTTATGAACGACAAGGCTGATGCAAGAAAAGAGGGTGGTGGTGAAGAAGAGTTCGGCGAAGATGACTGGTACGACGCACAGAAGGCCATGATTCAGAAGCAACTCGACATCAACCGCGCCGAGTTTGATCAACTGGATGAGATATCTCGTGTTCAGGTTGAAGGCCACAAGGCGGGAACATACGCTCGCATAGTGCTCGAAAACGTACCCTACGAGTTCTCCGCACACTTCAACCCCCGATTCCCCGTTCTCATCGGTGGTCTGACGCCAACTGAAGAGCGCTTTGGCTTCGTTCAGATCCGCATAAAACGCCACAGATGGCACAAGAAGATTCTGAAAACGAACGACCCCCTCATCTTCTCGTTGGGCTGGAGGCGTTTCCAGACGACACCCATCTACAGCATCTCCGATTCACGAACGAGGAACCGCATGCTGAAATACACACCGGAGCACATGCATTGCTTTGGCACCTTCTACGGCCCCCTCGTCGCCCCAAACACCGGCTTCGTCTGCATCCAATCCCTCTCCAACAAAACCCCTGGTTTCCGCATCGCAGCAACCGGCGTCGTCCTCAACGTCGACGAATCCACCGAAATCGTCAAGAAACTAAAACTAACCGGCCACCCCTACAAGATCTTCAAAAACACCGCTTTCGTAAAAGACATGTTCAAATCGAGCCTCGAAATCGCAAAGTTCGAAGGCGCAAGCATACGCACCGTCTCTGGCGTCCGCGGGCAGATCAAGCGCGCCCTCAGCAAGCCAGAAGGAAACTTCCGTGCGACGTTTGAAGACAAGATCCTCATGAGCGACATCGTGTTCCTCAGGGCGTGGTACCCCATCAAGCCCCGCCGCTTCTACAACACCGTCACCAACCTGCTCAACCCCGCCCTGCCCGGCCTCCACGACGGAGAATCCACCTCGTGGGCCGGCATGCGCCTAACCGGCCTCGTCCGCTACGAGAACGGCATCGAAACGCCCTCCGAGAAAAACTCCGCCTACCGCCCCATCGACCGCCCCACCCGCGTCTTCAACCCCCTGCGCGTCCCCCGCAAACTCGCTGCCGACCTGCCGTTTAAATCGCAGATCGCGACCGTGAAACCGCAGAAGAAACAGACGTACATGCAGAAACGCGCTGTGGTGGTGGGTGGCGAGGAGAAGAAGGCAAGGAGGTTGATGGATCAGGTTGTTGCGATACGGAATGATAAAGTCGAGAAGCGGCGCAAGAAGCAGGAGGAAAGAAAGGATCCGTATAAGAAGAAGGTGGCCGAGAATGCGGAGAAGAGGGCGGAGCGCGAGAAGAGGGAGAAGCAGGAGTATTGGGCGAGGGAGGGGAAGAAGAGGAGCCATTCTGGGGGGGATGAAGGGGGTGGGGGGAAGAGGAGGAGGTAGATGATGAACCTTTTTGGAAAAGATAGTGAAGTAGCATTTTGTGGCGTTTAGATATGGTATTGTAGTCGAAAACATCATTTGCTCGTTCACATCCGACGACGTTCTGTTTTGTGCATGCACTGACATATCTCACTAGCATGATGATTTCAACAGGGTATCATAGTGAGACTTGATCTTCTTATTGTAGCATCCGCCATTACACAATATAGTCCCAGAAGCCTCATCGCTTCACTAGATTAACTATTCTGCCTACATGTGCGCAATGCTATACACCACCCCATATTGCGCTGTCCATCTTCCACCAAGATCCTACGCTAATACGACCCCGTGGGCCAGACAACCCAATGCCAATCAGAAACAAGTCATATGCGCCGCCCATATGCAACGCAATCATCTAGTAGAAGAAAAACCAAAACAAGAGCTTACTTATGCTCCTAGCAGAAAATGCCGATGCCGTGAGATATAAAACGCCAGCTGGAGTAGCAACCCGGACATGCAATGTGAGAGAGAGAGAGAACGAAGAGGAAGAAAAAGTGGGGTATTGAACGCCGAAAAAGAATTATGAGGATGAGAATTGAAATTCGCGACTATCGCTGCTGTCATGGTCGTTTTTTCGTCTCGCTATCGGGGGTTCTGCTTTCTAAGGGGGTGCTTGTTCTTCTTGATGACCATGTCGATGGGTCGAAGTGGATGGCGACTAGCCAGGCACATAGTATGTTGGCTAGGTGGTGTAGAACGTATGCGTACGTGACGCCATAGACAGCGGCGTATGCGCCGATGGAGAAGAGCAGGATGTTTGTGAGGATCGAGACGCGGAACTCGGCGCGAGGGACCATGCGGCCGGTGCTGAGTGTTTCGACGAGCAGGATGAATGGCATGATTGAGAGGATGTTGTGGTGTGATGAGAAGGGTGTCATCCAATGTACCGCGAGGTTGCGTATCCAGACCACCAACACCGGAAGATTGATGGGTAGTATCCAGAGCATGAGGATGAAGATCGAGTGTGCGTAGTTGTAGAAGTTGTAGTTTGAGTCCAGACTGGATTCTGTCGCCAATCGGTAGGCACGGACGCTAGTTGCGAGCTGCACCAGGCAGAGCACAACGTAAGCGAAATGGTACGGTATCACTGTCGAGACCAGTGACAGCAGGATCAACGTGGTGATTACGCGCTGTCGATTTGATGTCACGGCAAAGGCTGATGGCGATCTCTTTGCTTCATCTCTCCGAAGTCTGGCAGATATGACAACAGAGTACAAGAAGGCGAACAGGAGTTCCAACAGCAGTACAATGTAGTTGATTGCCACACAAACTCCGATGCACATCAGACCGAATAGTGGAACAAGGAACCAGAAGAAGGTGTCGTCCGAGCCGAGAAGCAATTCATTGCTTGCAGTGTGCAGCAGTGATGTCGTGTTAGTGGTCTTACCACCCAGAGACCATTGTTTCGATTGGTGTTGGGCACCTGCTAGAGTAATCGACAGAAATGTAAGCGCGGAAAGGGCTAGTGGCAGCGAGCTCTTCAAGCACTCATTGAGCCCCTGCGTAAAGCTCATGAAGACACCAGTATTGTCGTACGTTCTGAACTGTTGGCGCAGAACTAGAGCGACGACCAGCAGTGGGAACGCAGCGAAAACAATACGGTAGCGCATCCACAGCTTTCCGAAACTGCCCAGGATGTCCACATTCAGGTTGATTTCTACACTGCTGTCGCAAGTCGGGTCAGACCAGATCTGTAGCGATAGTCCATTGGAGGGCTGTTTGGCGTGGAGAACAGGTGGCATGTATGGCGACACACCATGGAGGTTGATGCTAGCATCCTTGACGTTGACGAAGAACTTGCTTTCGTAGATTTCGGTAACATACTGCCGCAGTAGAGGAGCGAAGAGCTCTCCAGCATCACAAGACTGCTTGCCGATGTGGATGTTGTAGGCTAGGAGTGCGGAGTGTAGGGCCGGGATCTTGATGTCTGTCACCAATGGACGTTGTGCTGGAAGTCTGAGAGACAGTCCAGTCGTCAAAAGGTGCTGCAAGCCCATATCAACGGTGATCTGAGAGTCAGAGGCGGCGCTGAATTCGGCAACTACCCAGCCTGTGCTACGCTCTCCAGCCTTGTCGACCACGGCCACGAACTGATGCTCTGCGAGATCTTCGATGTCGTATTGGAGGTAGGAGAATGGTCGTTCGTCCATCTTGAAGGGGTAGGTAGAGTGGCGCGTTGATGCAGGGAGGGCGATCACGTCCGACGCAGCATTCTTGCAGGCAAGTCGTGTGGCGCCGACACTATCACCCGAGAGATCCATGTTCATAGAGAACAGCGTCGTCGATTGACCAGGTTGCGATGGAAACACGCTGCAGAACAGCACCTCAAGTAGGCCATGATCTCCAGGATGGTCCAGTTGTTCGTTGGTAAGAAGCGTAAACTTTCTTCCCGCGGCTTGGGGTGGCACGGGGATGAGGTGTGCATTCGGCCGTTGCTTGGACTTTCCGAGACTTCGCAGCACCAGCTTTTCACCTTCTGCGATGATGGCGCTATTCTCCTCGAGAGTGAGGAGTGTTTTGGCCTCTTTCTGGGGGAGTGTCTTTTCAGCAATATCTTCCAAGCCTGTCAAGAACCACCTCTTGAACCCGCGCATACGTTCAGCCCGTGGTACAGTCTGCGTCGCGCGTGACACATCGATGACCTCGTATAAAGCACGTACAACCGCCTTCCTATGCTGGTCACACCAGGTGATCGCTAGGTGATCAATGCCTGTCCAAACATTTGGCATCGATGTGGAGAAGACGGTGAAGCCATGGGTCTCGGGTACCAGTGACTCGATACTGGCGTAATCTGAAGAGATCATGGTATCCAAGCTTCCTCCTGCTATCGAGATGAGCGTGACGTGCCAAAGAGGGTTGTCGATGGCCCATTTCTGCGAGTATGCGTTTCTCCAGTATTCATTGACACCCTTGTAGGTGCGGACAATATCTCCATCAAAAGACACTGGCGGCCGGGCGTGCGGCGCGGCGAGCGTTATAATGGTGTTGATCGAGTTGGCCTGGTAGTTGGGCATGGTGAGCATGGTACGCGCGACCACACCACCCATGGAATGCCCGACAACAATGACCGAAGTTGGGTCGGGCAAGCTAGAGTCGCGCAGAAACTTGCCCGGGGTGTGGTATAGGGATAATATGTATGTGATGGCATCGTTGAGGTATTCGGCCTGGTCGAGCAAAGTTTGGCCGTGGAACGCCGTGATATCTTCGTTGAAGTCGACCGAGAAGAAGTCGAGTGGTCTCTTCCCTGCCTGGCCGGCGTCGGCATCGTGTTGGACGGTGTTGTGGTAGTGGTACGCGGCTTCGGCGGCGAGGGAGCGTACTTGTTTGTAGCTCCCAGCATTTCCAGGGACGAAGAGCACTGGCACGCCCTTGACCTGTATGATGTCAGCATTTCTCACTTCGCACGAGACGAAGCACATGCCCTGGTATCCTCATCCAAGCTACCTTCCCGGTATAAATACAGCGAGTATTTGCTTGCGAAGCGCGTGTGTTCGGTGTCGAAATCGCTGTATCTCTTATAGCTGGGCCGCATGTAGGACATGCCGCAACCTTTGACGTCTAATTGCCGCGTCAAGAATGACTGGGCCATGAGGAACATGGCAACAAAGGCCGCCAATGTCGTCAAGAGAGTGCAGGGCGAACATGCCCACGGAGAGCGAAGCCGGTGGCGCCATTTCTTGTTGTGGTCCGCGACCATCGTGTGCGGTGGGCTGTCTTTCACTAAAGCGCCCATGGTGGAGTCTGCTTTTGAGTGCGCCATGGGTGATCGTGCGGTGGTAAGAGAATCGGATATAGCGAGAGGGTCGGCCGCCATTCGTTGTGAAGGCACGTCTGTGTGGTTCCTGGGCCTGTTCTCTTTCACCCCGCCCTGCGCATTCACTAGCAATCCTTCAGTCTGAGCGTCGAGTCTATCCACATGTTCCGGAAGTGGTGCGGGTGAATTGTCGGCAGTCGATTCGGGATGGTTATGCTCGGGGCTTCGGTCTGGGGAGGAGCGCAGTCGCATCTATGGGTGGACGTCGCAGTACAACGAGAGTCGTGCCTGCCGTGTTGATATTAGAGGAGTGCAGCGTCGAGCGCACCTTCCTCGGCGAGTATGTGAGTCGGCAAATTTCCGGAAGCGTCTGAAGCGACAGTGGGGGCTCAATGGGCTCAGGTAGGGCGCTGGAATGCGATGCTAGCGCAGCAGGAGCCCATGGAAACGACGTCGACTTGTTGAGTGCAGAAAATGCACGGCGGGCGTGCTTGGGTGTTTGAGGAAAGGGCGTCGCAAGCTGCCAAGGAGAACCGAGTCTAGTCGTAAATCGTGAAGTAACGAGCGACGGGATCACCGCAGGGCCCTCACCGCGACCCAACGCCGCATCCGACTTGCTCGGATGATCGGCAGCCTTTCAAGTGGCGAGACAGGTAGTCCAAGGATACGAGGGGTACTAGGACGACGCGCCGTCCTTATCTGAACATTGGCATGCTGGTGTTGATGCAGAATCGTTGGAGGCGTTGGCGGGTCGCGAGGCTGGCGACAGGGTTGAGGCCAGTGCAACGAAACAATGACGACGCTTTACCGGGGTTCGCTGCAAAACACCGTCGATGCGCGCCATCCTAGCCCATCCGGTTGTGCGATAAGACCCAGACATGCCGCATGTATGCAGTGATCTTGTCTGCATCTTCCTGCTGTTGTTATGGCTACACCAAAACCACATCGTCGTACGTTGCTGATGGCTGCTTCGGGACAGACTACGGTCGCTTACGCGCCACAGCCGGATAGCCGATATGGATTGAATCCTTACCAGCTGCTTTCTATCATTCATGATGCAATCCGCCGGGTAGCTATCACGTCTACAACGTCAACATCCTCATGCACATATGGATGACATTATGCAACTGGCATCGTGGTGGAACATAGCGCGGTAGCGGAAGCTTGAGCCAGCAATCAGGATCTGCCCGCTAGCACCCGACTTCAC